GTTACATGTAGCATGATGAAAATAATGTGAAGCATTTCTGTGAAATATGTTGGGAAATCTAAGCTGGAAAAAAAAGAAAACATGACAGGACTGAAGCTTCCATTTGCTAATCTGGTGGCTGTCCAGCTGGATCAGTAGGCTAAGGCACACACAATTATATAACAGAGACACTGGTTTCAAATCCTTTGTCACAAGTCATCTCATCACTCCCTGCCCTCTACGCTTAATAGGTTCTCAGTGGAATTATTTTCTGTAAGTCCATAGAAAGGTCAGGCTGCGGGGTCAGCAGGAGAACCGTGTCTGTCGGCACTCGCTTCTCCATCCTGTGGTGTCTCTCTTCCCTCTTTCTGCTTAGTATGCCGTCTAAAAATCACAAAACTGTTTCTGTAACTAAAAATTGATTTTTGGTTGTAAGGCATGATGCTGACATCTGGTGATAGCATGTTAGTATTGCAGCACAGTCTGAGTGCATAATAGCTTTAGCGACAAGCTAAGCTTTGCTGCACTCTTCTGGTGAAACATCGACATCGTAACCACTGAAAAGCTTTCCATTTATAAATGCTTACAGAAGTAGTAGTATTTACTTGTCGTTTTTGGGGAGATTAAACAAATACACCAGTGGTGCTGTGATAAAGAAATGCAAGACAAACTGGTAACGGCCCGTCCACACAGCGGCGTGCGCTTCAACGCTTCTGCCCATTCACTTTGAATGGGGTGATGTCACGCTTCACCGAACTGCATTGTGGGAGTGAAGCGTAGCTTTGCTCGCTGCAAAAGTTGAGCAATGTTCAACTTTTGAAGCTTCTGCGGAAGCGTCAGCCAATCGAATCATATGCCAGTACAAGCTCTAGTCTAGCCAATCAAACCGCGTGCTTGTGTGTCCGGGGCAGGAGATTAATGTGATTGGTTGTTGGTCGAGTTTCAGCCCCCCCCGCCGGCAAGCTTCAACGCACGCCGCTGTGTGGACGGGCCGTAAGAATAATCAGGTATCCTTTTTTTTTTTTTTTTTATCTTTTTGGGCTTCATCTTAGTGAAAATGTTGAAGGGAAGAAACAGAGGGGATGACACACGGCAAATGATCCCAGGCCGGATTTTAACCTGGGTCATCTCCACGGTGACCAAGCCCCAGTACATGGGCCACCAGCTCAACCCAGTCTGCTATATGGCAACCCTGAATGGTTATTTTAATATATTGCTAATTTCTTCTGCACTGGAATCGTAGGATAAAATTGGGGTCAAACTTGGTATTGTGATCAACTTGTGTTTTTTTGTTGTTTTTTTAAAGGCGTTAATGTTGACAGCCATAGTTTATTTCCTCCAAAAGCATGTAAATGGACTGTACTTATATAGCGCTTTATCCAGCTTTTACATACTACATGTCACCATTCACCCTTTCATTCCTCATTCACACAGAGCAGTGCCACTTGCTCTAGTAAGCTAACATTCACACACATTCATGTTTTCATTTTAAGTTAATGCCCAGTTATTTATTAAGCAATAAAAATGGTTCAGAATAACAGCAGCAATGACGAGAGATTAACACTTCAGTATTTAATTAAATGGATTATAATAACATGGGATAAAACTCAAGAAACACAAAAAAGGTTTCAAAGAAAGATACGGAGATACACCGAACATGTGTTATTATAGCTCTCCTTAATTGACCACAGGAGATTAGGGCTGTACTGTATGTGCTCAGCATTGGCCTTACACACTGTGCTAATCTCTGGCACACACACCACACGAGCAGCATCGGAAGTATACAGTTACAGATCAGGTGAACACGTGTATCAAAGCCAGGCAGATGAACAGTATTAAAAAAATATATATACCTTTATGTACTTAATTAATAGATGACAAGTATTAAGTTAAGAGTTTGCTTTTGGGAAAACATGATTCATGAAATAGGTTAAGGAATTATTATGGAAAATAGGGAATAAATTATTCAAGAACAAAATAAATCAAGAACAAAAAATCTAAAAACATACAATAAAAAAAATATAGAAGAATATTTTTCTAGATATGATGTTAACAAGAGGAAATACAGACGGTATTACATAATAATGTAAATGTTACATCGTATTCAGGATCAGATATACCCTTTTCAAGTTTCATAAATGGTAGTTAAGTATGTTCAGACTCTTCATGGTTCCTCAGTTTGATTTCCTCCATAGACTCAGGGTGGCTCTTCCGAAAGATGCCGATACATAGCAGTGGAAACTAAACTATGGTTCTGAAAGGTCACAGCAGGTCCTGATTGGTCCCTCAGCTTGCTGCTGTATTGACAGGCTAAACCTTACCGAAGTGTGTTTCATTCAGCTGTGAGAGTGACTTAAAATGGTGTTAAGTACACATAGGAATTGGGCCATTAGATATCACTTTTGATAGTTTCATTAATATTGGAAATATTATGGACAGTGATCCACACCGCTACCTTTCACTACTGGGATAATCAATCAGTTGTGAATTCCCCAACTCTTGACTGTCTGACAAGTCAAGAGTTGCCCTGTAGTAGTCGATGAGACACAATACCAGTTTGAAACGTCCAATACCCAAAATCCCTAACCCTAACCCTAAATGGGCTAAAACCATAATACTGCACCAGGGAATTATAAAATGTTTCCACCTACAAAAACCTATGCAGTTAAATTAATTTGACGTGTGCCGAAAAACATCCCTACATATAGTGACTTTAAGCCTCTTACACACCAAACAGACACCAAAAAACACGTCCCGACGGAACGTCGCCTCACGTCGCCTCACGTCGCCTCACGTCGCCTCACGTCGCCTCACGTCGCCTCACGTCTCCTGCGTCTTGGCCATGTTTCGCACTGGAACACAACGCAAAGACTTCAGCCGCCGACCAAGTTGCACATACGAACTGCGCATGCGTGAGTGGCAATAACTCTCCTTACCAGCAGGTGGCGGTAGTGTGTATTCGTCATTCAAAAGAGGCAACAACCGGAAGACAGACTGCGTGATACACAGAGAGAAGAAGAACAGACTGTGTGATATAAACAAACAACAAATAGAGCGTGCGTTCCATTTTCACTCTACAACGAGAAGCTCATGGGGCTTTCCCGAACCTGTGTCGAGAGCTGGAGTTAAATGAAATCTCAGATTTGCTTCTTAATAGTTTGTTTGGGTCCCTCACTTCCGTTTCGCTTCTCATGCACTGATTCGCTAAACTGAACAGCCAATCGACGGCGGAAGGTGTCGGCACGGCCAAAAAGACACAATGGTGCAGTACACACCAATCTGAGTAGGGCGACACGATGCTCATCGACGGCCCAACATCTATCGACGCCGATAATCGGCTCGGTGTGTAACAGTCTTTAAATGTAAAATCTACTCAGCAAAGCAACAACTAACTAGAGCTGTCAGATATATATAATGAAGTGGAAAGTAAAACAACTTCATAGCACTGGTGTTTGCTTAAGTTTTCCTCTAGATAACAGAGTAAAAAGTCAAATCGTGCTGTAATCTCAAATAATATGCTCTTGTTTCTTTTTATTGTAAATCTGTGTTTTTTTCTCTTTTCAATTTCCCACTTTCAGAGAATTAAACTAAATTGCTAGTTTCAAATGAAAAGAATATGTTCAAACAGGCCATAAAGTAGAGGCGCCATACATACAAAAAATGCAGATAGACGAATGAATAAAAGGTAATTCCTTCACGTTACTTGTTCATATCTTTCCACTTCCATCAGCTCACTGTTTTTCAGGGTCTCTGTACTTATAAAACAAAAATAAATAATCTTCTATTGCTCCCACTTGAAACTCGTATTGCCATGGCCTGTCAACATAACTCTTTCCTTCTAATCTGAAATGCCAGGGATTAAACAGGCAGCCAACTCTCCATCCATAAATCTACAATCCCCTCCCCCTTTCTCTCTCTCACACACACACACACACACACACACACACACACACACACACACACACACACACACACACACACACACACACACACACCTAAACCCACTGATTTCTGCTAGTCTTTTTGATGTTTTGGGAGGCAGAGAGTGGGAGGTGGGTGGGGCGGATTAGATTAAATTGGTCTAAAATCAAGAGATCACTCATGGCCGGGGGCCGACAGATAGAAACAGTGTGTGTATGTGAGAAAGAGATAGAAAGGGAGAAACAAAATGATCCAGTCAGTCAGAATCTGGCAGCAGCAGGTCGTTCAGCCCCGATATGACCCGGCTCTCGAACCCTACCCTCAGTCAATCTCCAGCGTCCTGCTGCTTTTCCATAATATCACACTACACCACGTCTCAAATCTCATCATGACAGCCTCCAGCCTCCATCCTCCTATAGGACTTTAGGATTTAGCGCGACATCATATGCCTCTACCTTGCCTCTCATTTTGACCAATAGGATCTTGGATGGTAGCAGGTGCACTGAGGGATCCTCATTCGCTTCCAGGAGTATTGGTGAAGTATTTGCCTCACTGGGCATGGAAGACGTTGCCCCATGGAACGCACTGGATTGAGTATGGATTTTGGACTTTTATGTGACAATTAATCAGAGAAAGACAGGAAGAGGAAAAGAGGCAAAGGTACAGGGGAGACGTGTGGGGACAGGAGGAGGGGAGGACAGGAAGAAGAGGGCAGGGAGATGGGAAACATAAACAAGGCTTCTAAAAAGAACGGTAAAAGAAAGAAGGTAAGGGTTGATTTCATTCCTTTAAGCTAAGAGAAACCGATTTATCAAAGTATGTTTGACTACGATATAGTTTGAATTTATTAAGATATTGAAGATAAATGATTTGTAAGCCTGATCATTTGTGAAAGTTAGTCCCTAATCCTAACGATTGACAATTCCCCAGCTAAAGTTGAACTGTAAACATCATCTTACGACCATTTCAACAAATGTTGGTTCTTATAAATCTATATTCTAAAAAGCACAAGACTACAAATGGTCTTGTGAATTGCAAGAGACGGAATTTAAGTCGTAACGTGGTCTGGGTCCTAATTCGGTTCGTTCCCCTCCTCTAAGGGGGAGTCGTCTGTAGAACGAAGCGGCGCCCCGTTGGCTGCTGCCATGCTGGGGGGCATGGGGGGTGCAGGTGAGCTTGACACGGATGACGAAGACGAAGGAGCGAGCGAGCGGGACTTCGACGAGCCCCTGTGCGCGCTGGTTCAGAACTGCAACATGCTGCACCACCTAGTGGGGCCTGCTTGTATCTTCCTCAGACAGAGCTTTGCACAGAGCCAGATTGTATGTATAGCATTCACACACACACACACACACACACACACACACACACACACACACACACACACACACACACACACAGACACACACACACACACACACACACACACACACACACACACACACTATGGAATAATCATAGCCCATAAATCTCTTCATCCATCCATTTTCTCAGTGGCGTCTAAGTACAAGTGAAGGTGAAGTTCCAGCCTATCCCATCTCCACCAATTACAATGTCAACCCCCGACCTCATCAATCCTATATACCTTCATATCATAATATTTCACAAGAGGTTATGTGATTGTGCTAGAAGAGCTGTTATAGTCATTTGATTTACAGCTCTTTGAAGGCAGCAATGTACCTTTTGTTTTTAGGGGGCGGGGCTACGAGGTTTAATTTGAAAAGATACGATTTTAACTTTTTTCCTTTTATATCTGTGGAACAAGTTTAAGAGTACTAAATGACTTCCTACCAGTATAAAATCAATGATTTTCATTATAGATATACAGAAGGTTACACCATATCCATCGAATTTACGCTCTGGATAAAGTCCGTTTTGTAAAAAAGGTTACCCTGCTTTGAATGCGATTTATACAGAACTTAATATTTGTATGGTTTTTAGTTATAAGTATGATAAACATTTCTGAAGGAGAGATTTATTTGACTGAATACAATGTATCAGAATAAATAGTTATTTGTTCTAAAGGCAAGTACTACCGTCAGAAATATCCATTATATTATAATATTCCAAAATAATATGATCACATAATATAATCATGCAAACATGGTTTTCAAGTATACCAGTAAAAGAGTAATACACTAGGAAAGGTTCATTGTTATAACTCTATCTAACCTTAAACTATTTTATAATAGGTTTGCAAAGTTATTTCAAAAAAAGAAATATATATATATATTGTTGTGCAATTGTGTGACGGATTTCTTGCACATACTGTATATCCTAGTAGAAGTACGTTGTAAAAAGGGGGCCGATTGTACTATAATGACTAAGAAACTGGCCTCCCAATTGGTCTAGATTGTAATTAAGATCATGAATTCATTTTCAAACAGTGCTAAAGATAAGATGTGTGCCTTGCATGTCTTCTGTAGAGATGGGGGGGCATGGCAGAGATCAATAACAGAGTAATTTCCCAACAGAACAGCTAGCAGCGCTAATTGAAAAGAGCCATTAGGATGATAGTGTATTCACTGATCACAGCTTTACTGAGCTATAGGCTTCTGAGGTATTAGAAGACCTTTGGCTGAGTCTATGGGAGAAAGTTATTATTTTAAGGTGTAAGGACACCAAAACTTGAGTTAAAAGGTGAGTGAATCATGCCCCTTTCACACCAACGCAACTCCGGTTCAAGCTCCGTGCTAGAGCTTTTCTGGTTCAGAACCGGTTCTTCGGTTTAGCGCCGGCTCTTTTCACACCGCTCAGAGCCCGACTGGTGCTGCCGCTGCTGCGTCATGACGTCACAGTTTACGTCGCTGAGTTTCTCCCCAACGCCGGAGCTCACTTCACAACAACAACGGGCCGGGGACTGCGTCGGGTCGACGATCGTGTTGCTTTTAATCATACGAAGCCAGATTAAATTAAATAACGACTTCTCCAACCTTATACTTTTCTCCAGAGTGCCGTGGTTCATTGTTTATTAATGTGTTTCAGCGGCATTTACCGACCGCTGCTGGCTGCTCTTCAACGGGAGTGTATTCTCCCGTTAGCTCCGGGTTAGCTCACACGGCTCTAAAGTATTCACTGTCTGACTGTCACACAAGCAGCTGATACATATCCCCAGTTCCCCTTAAGTGAATGTGTGTCAGTCTGAATTGACGCTGTTTGGCATCACAACGCTGTTATGAAAGTTTCTCTGGTATAACATGGGTGATGTTAGCATAGCAACCGAAGCTAAACTGACTACTTGCTAAGCCGTTTTCTACAGGCACTTTTTACCGGCGTATTTTTCATTATGATTCTACTTGTGATAGTCGGACATGACAACCTGTGCAGCCCATGTATTGATTCCATCCGATAGCTGCTATAATAACAAACAACACGTCTGCCTGCTCTCCACAATGATCAATAACAGCGAACGGATGGTCAAAGTAAGGTACAAATAAACAGAATCACACGAAGCCTGGTTAGTGTTGCCTGACTTTATAAAGCGTGTTTTTTTTTACAAGTGTGTGGTTGCGTTCTAGTCACTTTGCTCAGCACTACTGCTTGTTACAACTTTTATTTGCCGTACTCGCTTTAACTGTTAGCTCAGGTTAATCTCGCCCCCCTCCGACGTACGCGTGACGTATGCGGTTCTTGCTTCTAGACGGACAACTTTTTGGTGCTCGAAACGAACCGGATTCCGGAGCTATGACGCTGCTCCGCTGCGGTGTGAACAGGAAAACCCGGTGCTTTTCAAGCACCAGCACCGAACCGGCCCTGAAACACCGTTGGTGTGAAAGGGGTATAATTGTTGGATTATCTAAATGAATGATCAAATAGCTACCAAAAATTAAAAAAGTACCTACAAAAACTCAAACATCCAATCAGTCTTAGCTGTACTTTGTGTTAAGTGCTAATTAGCTAGCTGTTAACATGCTAAACTAAAATGATGACCATGTGAAACACTGAGCCCATAGCTAACCAGCTGTTCTATGTAACCAAACAATACCAAACAAATGTATCCAATTGTCCACTTGTAGACAAAAGCCCCGATAAATTGGCATTCGCTCTACATTTTCAAAGACGCATCAGAAAGATTTGTTGCAGACAACCAAGTGGTATATTAGGTACCACTCTGCGGTTCCAAATGTTGTAGTGTAAACAGTTTTGACAGCAAAGCCTCCAACCGGCTCAGCAGAACAGACGATCCTTGCTGCCCACATGTCTCTCCTCTATATTATATTATTTTTCTTCCCTGTTTTTTTTCTTGATGAAAATGATCAATGTTAGAACTTTCTTTCTATCTATCTCCCAATCAGCGTCTTTTCTAAGCTACAACATCTAAACTTGTAGGACAACTTCTTCTTATGGGTTGGGAAATGGGATTCCTTGACAGAGAACACAGATTAGTCTATAGGATGGATATAGTGAGAGTAATAGCATTTACTATTTGTCAATCCCCCATAATCCCCTTTGTACTCTAAAATGGCTGCAATGAGCGCAGTAACAATCGCTTCTTGTTTGTACTAACACCCTTTAACTATTCCTTTGGTGTAAGTGGTACCTTGTTTTTGCGACATGGGAGAATTACTTGAATCTTTACTTTAGGAAATTGTAACTCCAACATGTCTTTGCTTCAATAAATGTTGTTAATGCTGGGTTGCTGTTTTTTTGTTTTTGAGAGCAATCAGAGTGTTGTTTGGGAATAAAAGCAGAAAAGAAACACAGATGGTAGCAAGAAAAACATTTTCCTCACCGCCTCTGTGCCTGAATTTGGGCTTAAACTGACAGTCACAAATGTTCAGCCAAAAAGACAAATCGGTACACGGTGTGCAGGTGTGTACGTATTTGTTAATAGGGTACTGGTCGAACAGCAGATGACAAATGCAGATGAAAAAATCATTGGAAGATAGGAAAATGAAAAACCGATAAGCCTTCGTGATTTGTAATACAATTTACAGCTGTAATCTCCCTGCCACTGTTCTCTCCCATGTATCCTCTAATCCAGGCCCGTATTATTCCTGTTGATGATGTGACAGCATGAACAAATATATCCATGCATCAACTTTTGGCTATGCAAAACAGGGTGAAGCCAAAATCAAATACACTGTAAATGATTTATTGGTGTGTGGCTGTAGCTACGTGTTACTGTTTTAACTCAGTTCTAGGAAGTTTAGGCTCCAAATTAGGGGATGGTTCTTTGGGTTCCTCATAATTGTATCAATATACAAAGCCTTTTATGAGTTTGCATGCATGTATTGTGAATATGGACGTGTATGCATTTTCCTGTATGTTTGTGAAGGGATAGGGTTTTCCATGATGCGTTTGAAATGCTTGTTGTGGACCATGCATAAGCTAAAAGCGTCTGCAATGAGATTGGACACAAGCTTTTGTGGCAGATCAACTAATAAGGTTATAAGGGTCAGTCAGATCAAAACCCAAATAATCCCGCAATTGAATCTCTGCTTAGGCGTCCGAACAGGGAATAAACATGTTTACAGAAGCAATGGAACCACTAGAACCTAAGCACTTAATTTGTTCTAGCATGTTATGTCATTGTGAAAATGTGCCTGATCACAGAATGAAAGTTTGTGTTTGACCTGACTGGCTGTCCATTTCTCTCTTTGTGTGGGTCTATTCTTCTATCCGCACCACTGCAGGACAGAGATCTACGACCAGAGGAAATGGAAGGTAGATATCAAAAGCGTAATCAAATCATAGCTCTTTCTCTCCCTCACTCCTGTCTTCTTCCTTTTAATCCTGAAACCCTCTGTTTGAATCTGAAAAAAGTGCTTTACTGTAAACTTTCCTTGCCCTACGATTTCCTGACTTTGGAGAAGATCACATTTTAAACAGCAACAAAGAAAAAAGCATGGTAGCACTTACTAATAACGCTACTATAACAAAGGTCGGTAGCACTTTATATTAAGGTACACAAATTAACCATCAACTAGTTGTTAATTAACATGCATATTAGCAGTATATTGGCTCTTTATTAGTCATTATAAAACATGTATTAATGCCTTATTCTACATGACCATATTCTACATAAGCCATTAGTTGAGAGTTTTTCCTCAAAAACCCTCTAATTAGTGCTTATTTATTGCAAGTAAGGAAGTTGTTGTACATGAGTTTTGGTCTTAATATGCTCTGCTCAATATGGGCCTAATAAGGCAGTAGTACCACAAGAATAGTAATTCTCCCATAATAACACTTAACAAATATCTATTCTTATGTAACAAAACATGAAACTATAAGTGTTAATTGTGTCTAAATAACTCAAAATTAGGTATTTATATCTAATAATATGTTTGGGGGTATTGACAGTTCAGCTACCAATAGCAAGGTGATATTGACCTGTATGTTTCATATTTGCACATTTATATATTTGTAAAATTTGTACTGAAGGTTAGACAGGAAACTGGGTAGGCCTATAGGAAGTAGGAGAAAGTGATCTGAATGGCATGGCAGTAGACATCCATGAGTAGACTGCTATTAATTTTCCCTATGCAACCTGAAGAGTAAAAGTGTCAAGTCCGTCAGAAAGCAATGACTGTAAGTGTAAGTGTATGCCTTACACTTGCACTGTAAGGATTAGTAACGTGTATTGTGTTTATGTGATGACATTTGGAGATGTTAAAACACAATGAGAAAATGCGTTAGCATTCACGCTAGCATTCGTGCTAGCGTTAGCATTCGTGCTAGCGTTAGCATACGTGCTAGCGTTAGCCATAGGCTACTAGCCTGTATACGTGTTTATTGCACAGCTAGCATTAGCTATATTTACCTATATATACAGTCTATGGTTTACACTTAGCGGTCCTATGTGTTAATCTGTGTATGTTACACTTGCATGTATGAGATTGCCTTGTAACTTCTTTTTTTATAGTTTCACTCCGTTTGAATGTCAGTGGACTGCAAATAAGTCAATAAAGGAGCATGGCTGCTCATTCCCTGGCTCTCAAAAGAGTTTGGCTGGCTGTTTAATCTATGTTCACACTGAGACAGTACAACACATAGAGAGAGCAGTACACCTATTGTGTAAGTACATACAAGCAGGTCACACAGTATGATCACAAATACATAAACTCTGTTAAAAATGTGTTTTTATTAAAAAAGTACAGGCTGCATATGTGTTCTCAGCCTTCGAGAAACTTGACATGTTTTGGTACATGTATGTGTCTGAACCTCTCTTTAGTGGTTCATTAATAAAACAGATATTTCAACGTGTGCCTACTTTGTTCATGTACTGTTGAGGTTAATTTCAGTAGTTGTGTGCTATAATGTATAAAGTGTGAAGAGGAGGCAACTTTAGAATAGGGAACCTGTTCAGGTCAATTAGAGTCAAACTACTAGCTTATTGGTTATGAACAAGACTTTAAAATAAGGAACATGTTCTTAGATATAAATTAGGGCTGTCAAGTTAACACGTTAATAACGCGTTAACGCAAAAAAAAATTAACGCCACTAATTATTTTAACGCGATTAACGCATGTGTATTTTTTGTCCTCGGCCGCCGTAGTTTCAGAGCGCATCGAGTGTAAAATACCATCGACAAGCTGATGCTGACAGCCCCGCTCCTGCCGCCCGCTTGTGGCAGACCACACTTCCACGCTCACTGGCAGGCCCGGACTGGCCATCGGGAGGACCGGGAGGGAGTGTGTATGTGTGGCGCGACTCGCGCGAGCGAGGCACATCTTCCGTGTTGTTGTTGTTAGCATCTGGTGCTAGCTAGCTGCGCTAACGGATATAAGGAGCTGTTTCAATGACATTTCGCCGACAACTGCGCCGAGCACTTGACTTTATGCAGGTAGCCAGACAGTGGGACATTGTACGAAAAGTCAGCACACTCAGCACGGATAGTGCGCGCAACATGATTGCAGCGTCCAGGCAGCTCCCATTCGAGCATATATGCCTTGAGCTGCACATAGCTCCAACGATCCATCACAGTGTCCACACACACACACACACACACACACACACACACACACCACACACACACACACACACACACACACACACACACACACACACACACACACACACACAGTATTATTGTATGAGAGAGGTTCCAGGTTGAATTGAGGCGAATATTTGTAATGTTCAGAGGTTGTTGTGTTTAATATTCATGAGAATATTTGTCATTGTTCAAATGATAATAAACAAACATATAAAGCATATTTGTCCACTCATATGTTGATAAGAGTATTAAAAACTTGAAAGATATCCCTCTAAGGTACATTTAGAACAGATAAAAAATGTGTGATTAATTTGCGATTAATCGCGATTAACTATGGACAATCATGCGATTAATCGCGATTAAATATTTTAATCGACTGACAGCCCTAATATAAATACCTAATTTTGAGTTATTTAGACACAATTAACACTTATAGTTTCATGTCTTGTTACATACGACTAGATCATATTTGTTAAGTGTTATTATGGGATAATTACTATTCTTGTGGTACTGCTGCCTTATTAGGTCCATATTGACCAAAACTCATGTACAACAACTTCCTTACTTGCAATAAATAAGCACTAATTAGAGGGTTATTGAGGAAAAACTCTCAACTAATGGCTTATTACTTGTAGAATATGGTCATGTAGAATAAGGCATTAATAAGTGTTTTATAATGACTAATAAAGAGCCAATATACTGCTAATATGCATGTTAATTAACAACTAGTTGATGGTTAATTTGTGTACCTTAATATAAAGTGTTACCCAAAGGTCTTCTAAGTTATTATGTATTCAGTACAAATGATAGGTAGTTAGGCATGATTTATACAGATTTGGGGGCCAGGTTGTCGCAAAATCCTATGGGAAGGTGTTTATGGTTTCCATTTAGTACTAGTGCAGTTAAAACAGTAATTAAGATATTAGCATTGCACTCCTACAACAGTGTCATTCAAGAACTATTAAAGCAGCAAATATAGAGACTGAACCAATTATCACCACCATTGTCAATTTTTTCTGCAAAACGTAACCATCATGAATTGACAATCACTACAATTCTACACATAGCGAGCTTTAACACGGGATCCTAACACGTGTGAGTATACCCTTAGAATCGCAGTGTTTGTCGAGCACTCATTCACTCTTCTCCATTGTATTTTCCCTGCAGAACTGCGTGAGGCATTCAGGGAGTTTGACAAAGACAAGGACGGCTTCATCAGCTGTAAGGACCTCGGCGAATGCATGAGGACTATGGGATACATGCCGACAGAGATGGAACTGATCGAACTCAGCCAGCAGATCTGTAAGTCCTGCATGCACAGAAGTAAAAATAAACACAAAACAGAATGAGTGCATCCTTCACTTCCCATAACACACAGCTCAAATGGCTTTTTTCTTTTTAGCATTTAAAGGTCCCATGTCATGCTGTGTAGCGAGTAAAACTCTAACACAGAAAAGACCTGTCTATGACAACCTGGTCTCACCAGAATGCGTGACTCCACCACGACTCCTTAACACCGCATTGCGTGGTGGAGTCACGAACTTTGTTACATTTACGTGTCTGCACCACGCAAACAACCCCAATGTAAAGTGAATGAGGCTCCTTTGTCGTGGTGCACACACGCATTTCTACAACGTCCAGCAGTGAGCTTTTATTCTATAAAACGTTTTTAAAATCTACTTTATAGCTTGTAGTAACTCACAGGAGGCTTCTTTTATTTTATTTGTATTCATAATAATTTTTATTTTTCGTCAGAATGTATTATGGTGCATTAGTTATGAATTGTTGTTCTCAAAAAACAGTGCATTGTGTGTAATACAACTGTGATTTTTATTAAATTAGTTCGTTTTTAAGGAAGGCCAGAGCTTCAGCTGTGTCAAAGAGATTGTTCCCTTTAGTTAACGTTATTTAAAAGATAATTATATTCCTATTTGATCAAGTCCCCTTTATTGTATTACGGACCCAAAGAGCTGAGCGTCCATTCCCATTGGATAACAGAGCATTTGACACCCGGAAGTAAGTATTCTCCTTACTGTCCATTGATTTTATTTACAGTGATATCTGCACTACTCATCAACTCAAAAACACCAGATTATCCTTGTTAATTACACAACATTGATTGGTTTAAATTGTGTACAATGCTTTTGTATTTTCCCCTTTCGATTCGGAGAAACAAATATTTGTTCGTAGTGTGTGGATGGCAGAAGGCACTACACTACCCAGAATCCTCAGCTATGGGACTACACCATGTGCTTAGAACGTGTCCTACCCCCCCCTTAGGTCACAGGCTCCTCCAACAGTGCAACACAATAAAACAGATAGGCTACACAGAACAAATAGTGCAAGTAAATACAAAAAGAAAAATAGTAAAAAAGTGAAATAGTGCAATAAGAGTCTATATACAAGTGATTGGAATATGATATATTAGATAAATAATTTCTAAGTAGCAGCCAGATGAATGTTATGGATGTTGTTTCTAAGTTCAGGTGTTTAATAGTCTTATGGCCTGTGGGATGAAACTGTCCCTGAGTCTGGTGGTTTTAGTCCGGATGCTGCGGTACCGCCTGCCAGACGGCAGCAGACAGAACAGTTTGTGGGGTGATGGGGGTCTTTTATAATCCTGAGGGCTTTCTTTAAGGTTAACCTGGTATTTTTACTCCACTACATTTATTTTAGTTACTTTACAGATTTGGATTAATGATGTGAAATATAAACAACCCTTAAATCAGAATTTAGTAAAATTCAGTGAATTCAGCCAACAATCAGGCGAGATATTTGGTAGTGGGTGCTTGAGAAGACTAAATATGTATCTGCAGATCCCTAAAGCATATTCATTACTCGTTATTCTCTACTAATAGTTAATTAAAAACTGTATATAATGGCTATTTTGCACATCCCTTTCAAGATTTCAAGATTTTTTAAGGTTTATTGACATATCATATACACAACTACGGTGTAGTTATGCAATGAATGAAACACTTGGGTCACAGGTTCATCAACAGTGCATCACAAGACATCTATCGATATCTGTGTACCTCCACCATTAAACATATTCTGCACATTTCTTATACTATCTACATACATCTTATAAGAGTATAATTAATATGTATAATATCAGTTAAAATAAGTGCTTCAACATAGTTAACATTGAAGGAAAGTTGATTGTCAAGTTCCAAAACAAACCATGCAATATATTAGACGTTAAGTACTTTGTCAGGCTTAATATCTGTAGATACCCCCAAAGCTTTTTTCTTATTTAAAAGAAGACCTTAACCTAAAGTATTCTTTCATGTTTAAATAAAGCCTTATTAGTTTGTCTGTTTTGCACATCCTCCTATCAGGCACTAAACTGTTTTATTGTAGAGATCACTTACAGTATCTTCTTGATATTTTCTATTCTATATTATTTATATCATTGACCTTCCACTTTCCCACTATATTAAGAGTATGTACTCTTAATATTTAAATGTTTTCATCAAATATAACACATTCAAAAGTGCTTTACAAAAATGAAAGACATTAAGAAAAAGGCATTTTAAAACAGTCAATAAAAAGCAACCCAATCTACCTGCATTGCATTACTCTAAACGTGTAATAACGTGCTTTAACCAGTAGGAGGTGCGGGTTAAAAAACTGTCAAGTTTACAGTGTTAACAAAATAAAATATACTGCTGTTTCTGGTTTAGTTTACGACGGATATATTCTGTTATTGTTTTGATATTTGTAACACAAAAGCGATGTAAAAAACCCACAGCAACACAGAAAAGATGGTCTTAACATGACCCAGCGGTCTAGTAGTTAATAAAAAACAATAATATCAAAACAAATTATTACTACTAACTTTATTGTGAAATTAAAATAGAACGGTAAAAGAATAGTTTCCGGTCCATTCTGAGGCCCGATCTCTGTAGATAAATAAAGAACTACGACAGATGTGTAATGTTTAATGCAGCCAAACCATTCATTACAATGCATTCATGTGATGACTTTCAAAGAGTAAAGCAAGCACTGCTGAATAAAGTATGATTTGATCTTTGACGAAACGTTTTTTTCATTGGAATGCAGTTGGAGGTCAACCAATCACAGAGCTTGAGGCAAAGCGGAACAATAGCTGAGGATTCTGGGTAGTGTAGTGTCTTCTACCATCCACACACTCCGAAAACATATTTGTTTCTCCGAATCGAAAGGGGAAAATACAAAAGCATTGTACACAATTTAAACCAATCAATGTTGTGTAATTAACAAGGATAATCTTGTGTTTTTGAGTTGATGAGTAGTGCAGATATCACTGTAAATAAAATCAATGGACAGTAAGGAGAATACTTACTTCCGGGTGTCAAATGCTCTGTTATCCAATGGGAATGGACGCTCAGCTCTTTGGGTCCGTAATACAATAAAGGGTACTTAATCAAATAGGAATATAATTATCTTTTAAATAACGTTAACTAAAGGGAACAATCTCTTTGACACAGCTGAAGCTCTGGCCTTCCTTAAAAACGAACTAATTTAATAAAAATCACAGTTGTATTACTTACAATACATTGTTTTTTGAGAACAAACATTGGTGAATAATGCACCATAATACATTCTGACGAAAAATAAAAATTATTATGAATACAAATAAAATAAAAGAAGCCTCCTGTGAGTTACTACAAGCTATACAGTAGATTTTAAAAACGTTTTATAGAATAAAAGCTCACTGCTGGACGTTGTAGAAATGCGTGTGTGCACCACGACAAAGGAGCCTCATTCACTTTACATTGGCGTTGTTTGCGTGGTGCAGACACGTAAATGTAACAAAGTTCGTGACTCCACCACACAATGCAGTGTTAAGGAGTCGTGGTGGAGTCACGCATTCTGGTGAGATCAGGTTGGTCTATGCCCTAAACAAGCTGCAATTAAAATATAAGTTATACGTTAAACCTATCACTTTGGTCACTGACTGAGATCAATGCAACATATACTTAAAACAACGGTATGAATAAGCGTTATTTTTTGTTTGTTATTCTACAAAAGTGTGCCCTTTAGGTGCCGTAACTGTTAACCTGTTAACCTGTTAAGCCCTGAGCCTGTTTTTCAGGTCTCAGGCTAAAAAATGACATTCCCAGAACAAATGACCATATCTTCCCTTCTAAAAGGGTTAAATTAATAATCTTTGTTCTCAAAGTAATGATAAACCTGTGAGTTGGATGTAGAAAAGTCAGAATCAATATAGATGTTTTTTATTTTAAAGAAAATTCAGATTTTACATAGTAAAAAACTGTAAATTATAGTGTCCGTCCAAAAATTCTTTTTTACTTATAGTGAAAACTACCCTTGGATGATGGTAAGGTAGACTACAAGCTTTAGGAATCCAAAGTACAACATATAATAAGTACCCTGTATCAAGATTGATGCAAAACAAGTGACATTTGACCTTTTTAGAGAGATTTAGCAAAAAGAAACCACTTCTGGGGTCATTTGGGTGGATTTTCTATATCTCTGGCCTCCCTTGCTCGATTTTGATGGTTGACACCTCTTTCTGACCGTTAGAGCCAATAGAATCGAAGGGGGAGTCCCCCACACACACTCATTGTGAAAAGAAAAGGTGGGGGCTTCGCGCATGCAGTTTTGCATTAGAGTGAAGCTACATTCTAGCTCTGACACCTAGAAACGGAATAGCATGGATTATCCGTTGTATTGGTCATGGATTATCCTTTATTAAGGGACACAGACACATTGGATTAACCTATGGATTAACTTCAGCAGCGTTTTTATCGTTTTAATGCCATTGAAGACCACTTTGGAGAGACTACAGAGACTAATTCGTATAATTCAGTGATAATGAGGGTACCCATCGATTCTGTGTCACCTCACGATGTGAAACGATGTCATGGATGTAGAGAAGAGATAAATAATAAGGTTTTGTGAGTGATTTTCGGTGCAGTAAGGTGTTAGCATTTTTCGCTCGTTGCTAATTCAGAGGCTCAGTGTTAGCATTGTGGGTTTTCTTTTGAAAAAAAAATAAAAACGATCAGTTAGATGAGTTTCTTCCCGTTACATGGATATAAAACATTCATAGTTTATTAAATGAACATGCCCTCAGACACTGTTTCCTGCAAGATGTTGCGGCAGTGCCCCGGTACCGGGGTCTCTCGGGCTTAACAGGTTAAGGCACAAATCTACTTAGAAAAGTACCATAATTTTTACGTCACGACTATAGAAACCTTTAATATTGTACAGAAACGCAGTATAACAGGGCGTTGCATTCCAGAAAGGTATCTAATGTAGCGAGAATGAATACCATTTATAAAGCTAGAAAC